ATATATATATATATATATATATATATATATATATATATATATATATATATATATATATATATATTTCTGCCTGTATATATGTGCATATATTATATATACGCGTTTATGCACATGTATATTTATTGATATATATTGTGTTAATGTCCAAGATGGGCACGCGAATTCTTCTTCACCTTTATACTGCATATCAACTTGCTGCTGATTTCTCGGTGGAAAAGCCCGCCAACGTCTCGACACTCTGTTTCTCGTGTTGTCTATTCGCAAGAGTATGAAAATAGTGTTGTAAATGCCTTTTAGAGACTTGTACGAAACGCAACGGACACACGGAAAAGAATACGCAAACGGAAACGAACATGAAAATAAATACGTGCATGCAGGGATCCTCAGCCTGTCCATATATAATTCAACGTGTACAGAATAGTCGCATCTTCAGGTTATTTAGGATTTGGGGTTTAGGGTTGAAATATTACGGTTTGTTTTAAACAGTAGAGCACACTTCAGCCACTAGCTTTGACCTTCAAACCATCGTCAGTACAATGAATTCAAGCGGCGTATTGTAGCTGCCAACGCCAAACCCTAAACCATCCGCCTGTTACACTTGAAAGAACAAATCACTAAACCCTAAGTCCTGTTCCCTACAGTCCGCTGCAAACAGCAGATTGGCGAATTCAACCCTTGCTTACTGTTCTATATGTTTGAACAATGTTCATGCGTAAGGCTTTAGCGGTTGGTCGCAACATTTTAACGGCTTCGTTTCGTTTGCAACGAGAATAAGTTCTATGTAATTACTTTTAGGGCTTTGCGAACCAAAACAGATAAAGTGGCAAACCCTACGCCCCCGCGTATGAAGTAATTATCTCACTATATTCACCTATTTATTTTGAAACTATTGAGTTCGCTCAGCCTTAAATCATAAATCGTAAGCACTGGGTGGAGCGACCAGCAGCGCCAAAACATCTGAATCCTAAACCCTTATTCCTAAACTAAAACACTTCGGAGGCTGTATCCAGAAACCCTAAACCCTTATCCTAAACCCTAAAAGCAAGCAGTGCTGAGGCTGTAGCTTCAAACCCTCAATTCTAGTGTATCTAAGTAGTCAACGGATGCAAGGGAGAAACCTGAATGAGCAATCTCCCTAAACCCTATGTAAACGTTAGTTTTTCGTATCAACAATAATTGTTAATGCCTGAAGGCAAAAAACGGTTTTAAGATGTTACATTGCAACGAGAAAAATCGAAAACGTCCACCTTGCGCGATTGCGAAGGAGTTCGTATGGCGGGGTAAAGAAACAAATGAATTGTAGTAAGTAGCGGGGTTTTAAATGGATATAAACAAAAACGGAGAGGGATTCGGGGCTGTTAGAGATGGGTGAATGTTTCCTTTAACGGCGACCGCTTAGAAGAGCATGCTGCAAACAAAATACAGAAAAAGACGAAGGCCAACAGAAAATAGATGCGTTGATAGCTCAGTCTATGAACAAGATATCCATTTTTCCTATATACAAATTTTACAGTATAGAGTATTTACATCTCTAGGGACTCTACATAGGACTTGAAACTGTGTATTTAGGGG